ACATTTGGTTAAAAAGAACTCAATGGTGCTCTAGGAGGAGATCCAGGTGATAAGGGGGGGGGGGGTTACCTTGGTTTGTGATTGGCTAATGGTTACACAAGCCAAAAAATCGTTAAGATATCATAAAGTGGCCAAAATCTGATCAGCTCATTTTCAGGCAGGTTTTTATATAAATGAATCAGAACAAAAAGTGAGTGAATCTTTTTATCGGAAACTTTCAGAGTCTCTTTCCACAGAGGGGACACATCATGATGCAGAAGAGACATGAACAAGTGGATTTTGCATTGACTGTAGCATATTTTAAAAATCACTTCCATCTCTTTTTCCTTTTGGTCTCTCTTGTGGCCTTGGCTCAACTTGGCCTTCATCGTACTTAATCTTTAATCTCATCACACTGTCCAAGCCAGTATTAAGCCCTGCAAGTCCCGCACAATTAAAGAGATTCCTTTACAGTTTGGATCTTACTTTAGGGATTGTGTTGTTACTTCACAGTTTCAATTCAAAACTTTTCTTCCCCTGCAAGCGTTTTCCATGAATTGAATTTATCAGTTCGTACTATCAATGTGGAATATTTACAAGGAGGTTATGTTTTCAGAATGGTTTGTTGCTTTGCCTGTCAGCATGATTTCTGAAAATAACCGACCGATTTAGACGAAACTTGTTGGAAGGATGTTGCACGGCCGAGGAGGAACCAATACACTCATTATTTTTGACTTATGAAAATGCTCTTGGCAAACATCTTCACTCTTTCAATGCCCTTCTGGTTTTGCTTTGTTGAAAATCTAATTGCTTAATAAGTACAGCCCTTTGTATCTGTTGACATTTCCACAGTAGTCCCATATGTGCCACATGGCGTAGTATTGGTGCCCCTATTTTTTTTACTTCTAAAGATACTTCTAGAGATCTAAGCACATTTTTCCCCCCTGCCTCCTTTTCAATCATTTATTTAAACTAGGTTAATCGACTCTGGCATCTAGCTGAGAGACTTAATGGACTGCTATGACCTGCAAGGCGAGGGTTAGACCAATCCATCAAAGTACCCAGCCAATAGATTGTATTGTTTCTCTGCATCTCACTTTCTCTTAAAAATCCATCCCAATGTCCTTGTTTTCGTGTCAACGTGAACTAAGAAAACAAACCACACATATTAAACGTTAGCACAAACGTTTGATGAGAACCACAAACCTCTCTTTGCAAGGAAAACTACAGCTAGGCTCTTTACTTATGTGAATTTAAAGTATTTAAGGAACCAAATGATTTTTCAGAATATAACAAGTGTCTGAAACAAGCACCTGATGTTACCACACAAATTAGCTCCATGTTTGGTAAAAAACCCTTTCTATCATGTAACATATATTATTATGCTACAGGATGCTTAGGATAACATTGTGATCACATTCACACCAACAGCGGTTTCCTCCTCTCTCTCTCTCCCTTTCTGTCCTCTCGCCTCATCTCATCCAACCCAGCTCACTGTTTATAACCATAAAAGTCTCGGCAGTTAAGCTCTCTTACTAAGACAGCATATTTCTCATAGCAAGAACATGACTCACCACTATGTGTGTATGTTTTTTGTCTCAGATTTACTTTAAAGTAAACATTTTGGATTTGTTTAAGTTGCAAGTGTTTCCCCGGCGCCTAAACGCACAAAGAAATGTTACAAATAGCCTAAAGTGTGTGTTTATGTTTATTTGTGAATCACATTTAGCATAATTGTCCGTGCTTACACAGGATATCTAATCCATTTTCTGTTATTTTCAAAAGCAACCCTCTTTGGGCTGAGAAGCTAACCTCAGGGAAATCATTTCAAAGACTGATGCATAACAAATTTGCAGGCGCTCTATAAGGAGGACTTTGAAAAGAACAAGGGCAAAGGTTTCAGCGTGGTAGCCGATACTCCGGAGATGCAGAGAGTGAAGAAGACTCAAGACCAGATCAGTCACGTACGTCCGGTTCGCCTCAAGAACTGAAGAGCATCAAATAATATAATAACACTAAATCTTCGTCATAAGTCATAACAGTCCGTCGTAGCTTTAGATGTAACGTCCTTTCAACCACTAACTATGTTTGTCTGCATGAACTTCAAATACATTTCCCTCTTACGTGATTGTTTAATACATTTTTCATCCAATGCTGCATTTAGGTTATATTGAATTTATCATTGCTGACAAAATAAATAGCAACAAGTGCAGTTGTTTCTAATCCGCATGTAAGACCTGCACACACTAACATGCACCCTGTGAGAAGTAGGCTTCAAGTTCAGTACACTTTAACACAAATTAAGGGGTCATAGGCAAAAGGTCAGTGAGTGTTACATACAGTAACAACAATATAATTGTAAGAGCATTGAAGAAACAGCGAGATGTCTTTCAACTTGTACCAATAAACCATGAATGCAGCTCAAAACTCCATGTGGATAAAAATATGCATGAATTGAAAATATAACAGGTCTAATGAAAGATTTCACTCCAAATAAGTAGTTTGTGACTTTCGCTGTCTTGCCAAGTTTGAGATGAGAAGATTGATACCACTCTCATGTTGGTTGGTTAAATATGAATCCAACTCCCAGCAGACTGCTAGCTTCGCTTAGCTTAGAAACAGGGTGAAAACAGCTAGCCTGGCTGTGACCAAAGGTAAAATATGGGGTTTTTGTAATTAATAAAGCAATACAAAAACAGAAGTGTCAAAAGGACATGTGTATTGTTACTGGGGATTATGTGTCCAGACTATTTCTTGGCCGTGACTTCGGAAGACTACGGATTAAACAAACAAGATCTAATGTGTTTGTGAGCGAGTTTATGAAGTGCTGATAGGCAGATGTTATTACCTGTGGACAGTGCCTGGCTATTTAGAGTCTTTATGCTAAGCTAAGCTAACAAGCTTCTGGTTGTAGCTTCATATTCCCAATAACGACAAGAGAAGTATAAATCTTCACCTCTAACTCCCAGCAAGAAAGCAAATAGGATTATTCCTCTTCTAAAATAAGATTGATTTTACTGTACATTTCAGGCTCTTTACAAGGAGGACTTTGAAAAGAACAAGGGGAAAGGTTTCAGCGTGGTGGTCGACACTCCGGAGATGCAGAGACTGAAGAAGACGCAAGACCAGATCAGTAACGTAAGAAACGTACTGTTGGGCAGCCATTTTGTTTGACATTATGACTATACAGTTTCCTGTTTGAGAGATGGCCTAAATAACCACTGGAGAATGACGTATCCAGCACAAGGACGTCATTTTAAGTCCACTTAGAAGCTGTGGTAGTGGTTGCTGTATAGGGTAACTTAAGATTTGCATGAGCACTGAAGAAATAAGCCAATCTAAGAGGCAAACTGGGGAAATTGGAGATGTTCGATGATTCAGAGGTCTGGAACCTTTTCTTTGGTAGAGAATAGGGAAATCTGTGGAAACAATTATGCTGATTATCTGCAGTAACTAGGACATTGTGTATAGAAAAGGCAAACTTAATTCCATTTTTATTTTTGTAATTTGGGTAATCTACTTTTGATGGTTATTCCTTTTCACTCAAAGATATATCATTATAATAATTTAATGAAGAAACTAATCTATTTATAGGTAGGGTTTTATACCTTAAGAGACAAAAAAAACAAGGATGGTCAGATGCAAGAAACAAGTTGAGCAATTTCCCATAAGACACAACAGGAAAACATCCTGGTCCAATAACAAGATGGTAGATTGGAGATTTGTGGACTGGTACTTAAAACCACTTTGATACACTGGCAGAGAATAAAAAACTGCAGCAGGCAGCAGTGAGGGATCCTGCAGAGACACATTTCAGGCATTTCTCCTCGGCCACTGAGGAGCAGCTGCCCTATATGGTCAAAGTCTCTCAGCTGTGAACACACGCTCACGTTCACGCGTGCGCGCACACACACACACACACACACACACACACACACACACACACACACACACACACACACACACACACACACACGTATACACACACGCATATACACACACTCATGCATACCACACTTAAACCAACACACACACTTTCTGTTTTTTGTCTCATGAGAGTTGTGGTTGCAGAAAGGAATGAAGGGAGATAAGCTGCATGTGAAAAAGACAAAATCGAGTAATTTATTTTTCCACTGGGAGCTTCCTTCCTTCCTTCCTCACTCTTTTTCCTCTCTTTCCTCCCAAACTCCCTATTTTCTTCCTAATTTCCATTTTCTTTCCTTCCTTTCTTTTCCTTTCTTTCTTTCTGTCTTTCCTTTTTTAGATTTCAGTCACTATGTCCTTTTTTTCTCCTGTTCTTTCTTTCAATCGTCCCCCCTCTTGTTTTCAAGTCTCTCACTCTCCTCCAGTCTTTTCCCATCAGATCTATGTCTGTTTCTCTTCCTGAGGTCTATTGAGGACACCCAGTAAGTTTCCTCCTCCAGCCTCTAAAAGCTGGAACTGCATTTGATTAATTTCATAGAGGCTGTGGGATTATCCCTCTCTCTCTGTCCCCTGGTGGACACACTGGAAGTTGCATTAAGCGTCTCAACACCATAGTTTCTCTTCAGTGAGATGTGGAACATTATAATGAAGGAGTCACAACCCTTTCTATTTATTTTCATCTTTGAATACTCACTTTTGTGCAATTAAAATGGCAATCTCCCATATCCAAAGTTTCTTCTGCTATAATTCCATAAGAAGACAAAGCCCGCATTAAGCAGCAAATAGAAAATGTTAGTAGAAACTCAGAAAATTAAAATTAGCCAATAGTTCTTGACAACATTCTTCTCTAATCAATCATTCTGCATATAGGTCATTCTTAATAAGCTAATTTAATTTGTATATATTGAATGTTCAAAAGTAGATATGTAAGGCTGGAGATATGTAACATAGGTTTTTGAGAGTTTCACATTTCTTGTTTTTTTTAAGTGTTTTAAAATGAGAATATAAAATGCACCAAATCTAAAAACTTAAAACACACAGGCTTAAAGGTTTCTCAAAACGGTTGCCTCTGCAGCAGAGATAAACCCCTCTCCATCTGCAGCAGACATAAACCCCTCTTCCTCTCACAGAGACATTGGGTCAGCAGTCAGATTTGATGTGGCTTTAACATGAGTGTGTTGCTTCCTGTGTGTGCAGATAAAGTACCATGAAGACTTTGAGAAGAGCAGGTTTCGAAGTGACGCACCTCCTCCTGAGAATAGACAAGGTAGGAAACATCCTTACACCTTCTGACACACTTATTCAAATCACCAAATGTAATCATATATTTTTGTATTCACTTTGTGTGTGTAGACTATGAGGAACAACCCAGCAACCCTGAGAGATTCAGTCAGCCGCCAGTCGGACAAACGTGTCCTGCTGCGGTAGCACCACCTAGTGGAGGGGTAAGGCTAATACATAAACATACACTCAAAAGGCAAAAGTATAATGGACACCTGACACTTATTATGTAACTGTTGAACATACAATTGCAAATCAATGGGTCTTAATGTGCTGTGGGAGCATCAGAGATCCAACACTGATGTCTGGGAATCAGTTTTGGCTCACAGACTGTATTCCTGTTCATATTTAAAGTGTTGGATATGGTTGAGGTCATGGCTCTCTTCTTCCACACCAAACTGGATACCATTTTTGTGATGGAACTGGCTTTGTGCACGGTGGTCATTACAAGTAACAATTGCTGGCCTTAATCTACAAAATTTCACTTAAAGAGACATGAAAAACCATTAAGAGAGTCAAAATAACCACAAAGAAACTGAAAAAAGACTTCAGAGAGACACTGAAAACTACGAAGAGATGCAAAAGAGCTGCAAAGAGACCCACAACAAAGACATTCAAAATAGCTCTAGAGACTCAAAACAACTAGAAAGAGATGCAAAACAGATATAAAGAGACCCACTACTTTGAGTGTCAGCAACCTGCCAGTGTAGTTGTGTTGATAATTTTTGTATTGCAGTATAGGGGTGTGTTTAGGACAATTCAATGCAAATCACCCTGTTTGGAGTCATTGTCATATGTCAGTGCAGCTGTGTTTGTTTATTTCCTCTGTGTGTGTTTGATCCCTCTCCACAGAAACGTTACCAGGCTGTGTACAGCTACACGGCAGCAGATGCAGATGAAGTTTCTCTGCAGGAAGGCGATCTGATCTTAAACGTGGAGCAGATAGACGAAGGGTGGATGTTCGGGTGCAACCAGCGCACGGGGCAGCGCGGCATGCTTCCTGCCAACTACGTCCGACCCGTGTAAAGCTAAGACACCCCTTCAGCATGAGATGCCCCTTGTTTCTGCTGTGACCATCAACAATCAGGCCTAAACTCAAAATCAACTCGTAGAAATACAAAATAAAAGAATCAATCCCAACTCTCCTTTTTTCAATTGGAGGTTAAAAAGTGATAGTGTCCGATGGGTTCTCAAAAAATGTGATTAGTTGGAATGACATTTCCCTTTAGGGAAAACGGTAATAGTAAAGTTTGATGTATCTGTAACTGAAAGTCACGGAAGAGGAAGTAAGGGGGAAAATATTCACAAATGAAAAGAAACATTGGTAAATAAAGCTAACGATAACAAAACAAAAAGCATTTTTTTCTTTCTTCTCAGGAAACGTTTACCTTTTTATGTACGTGTCCTTCAGCTTTAAAGTTGAAATGCATTCAAAGTGTCAAGTCATGACATTTTCTGCATTTGAATAACTCATTCCATTATCTTCTAAAACACATTTTACATATTTTGAGAGAATATCGTCATCATTTAGGCCGATTTTTATTAAAAGTTAAATATTTAATTTGCATGTGCAACCCCTTTTTTAAAACAATAAAGAATAATTTTGCGGCATTATTTTGTTATACTGCACACATCGTACGTCTACTACATTGTTTGTTTGGTGGGACTGTGGAAGTACTCAGTGTGGGAACATTGTTAGGATTAGAGTACTTCATTCACAATTGTACGCAAGTTCAAATAACAAGTAGATTACTTTCTTTTTACTCTTAATCACTGATGATGGTAAAAACCACAATAATATATAAAGTCCTTTATTCAAAAACAGATTGAACATTATTAAACACTGTAATAGAGTAAAATGTTACCAAATCTTAACTGGTTGTTTAAAAATAAGGCAAAAAAACAAACATACAAATGATGCGTCTTAAGTTAAAACAATAGCACTTTTTTTTTTTAAATGATTAAACACAAAAATTCCCAACACACAAAGAACATTTCTGTTTTAGTAATTGACTAGTTCAATTTTTTTTTCAAACGACGTCTTCAAGCTGTTAGAACGGGTTTCGTAGAGGAGAAAAAGGTGACTCGCTTGTCAATTTTGTTCCGTAGCTTCGATGGCAGCCAGGTCAGCTGCTCCTCAAAAACCTCAGAGTTTTCTGCTATTAGGTCCTCACACAATCTACAGAGGAAAGACAAACAGACAGTTTAGATTCTGAAAACACTTTTGTCTCGTTAGTAGACATAACTGTAGCTCTGCTCCGGCAAGAACTGATGTGTTTTACTTTTAACATTTGCTTCTTTATGGGTGCAGGGGGAGATGCTGCAGGAATACAAGGCTCTAGTGTGGGAAAGTCACCACAGACACCCGATATAGGCACGTGAAGTCATTTGGCAAGGTCTAAATGTGACATTGATTTAAATGTAAAAGTTCTGCAATCCAAATTTAAATGGGCTAAATTGACCAAAGTGGCCAACTTGTACTCTTGTATGCAATAGCAATAGTGTATTCTATCATACAATCACACCAACAGAGGGAACCAACAACCAACCAACATTGGGGTCACACAGTAGCAAAAATTAATCACAATTTAATAAAAAGGATGCTATTGCCAGAAAGACGCACATAACATCGGTTAAATTAGTTTCTTGTTGGTTTGTAAGTAAAACAGAAAAACCTTCCCGATATTCATGAAACTTGGTAGCAGCATGGCCCAAGGGAGAAGCCATAACATTTGAGCAGATGTGAATCACTTGATTGATGCAGGCATCACTTTACACTTGTAAAAGTCCTTGGTGGAGGACATCACTGTGTTTTAGATTTAGAGGTGGATTTAGGTAGCTGAAGTTTATCTTGGTTAGGTTCCAGCTCAACATAAGAGATCTTGTATAAACCTCTACCCATGTGTTTTCTTTATAAAAAACACCGTTCTGGTTTGGTAAAGAGAGCATTTTGCTATAGCTCATCATCCACAAAACCTGAAAGTACAAAAGTTATTGCCTTACAGGTTTAACATTACCTACACATTTGCAGCAGAACTGCAACATGAAGAAGTTTTATGTCAAAACTGAATATCTGTGTCTACATGTATATCAGTTTTGGACTGACAAAAAAACAAAAAAAAAACATCATTTTGGATTTACAATAGGGAAATAAACCATGAGGATTCAGAACAAAAAAACACTTTGACATTTCTTGGGCCAAAACATTAACCTAAAATGATTTATCAAAACTAAAATATCAGTTAGACATTTTTTTTATAAATGATCCAAAAATCACATACGCCACTGGCTGGTCAGAATGAGAACATTCATAATACTCAAATGCTTTGAAGGTTGAATGAATACAATTCAACTTCACCAACTAATCTCCATTGAGTCATTTTAATCCTTCACTATAAACATGGCACAGACTAACCATGCATAATAACAATGTAAAGCTCATTAGCATAACACAGGGCCAGAGAGTATAAATAGCTGTGAGTGTTTAAAGGGTCTCTGTGGAACTGCTTAATCATGTGTGAACGGGGACGACGTGCAAACACGCTCGCACATGCTGCCAATGTACATAACGAGTAGTGGGAACAAGAGGGGCATGTGACTAACCACATCAAATCAGACAGTGAGCAATGATACAAAAATATTAACTCAGACATTTTAAGTGGAAGGTTGAACAAACCTGAAGAGGGAGCACGGCTGGGTCTGAAACATGAACACGTCACTGCACTGGTTTTGTGATGGAGCCCTCAGAACAGCCACCTGACACATAAAGAGGTTTGACACAACAACAACAACAGCACATGAGGATGGATGACAGAATCATTACTGGAATTATTCTTTCCATTTTAAAATATTTAAAGCCTCTTCAGAGAAATTGTGAAAAAAACAGAATATGACTAGTTATTCGTGTCTGGTATTTTATTACGGTGTTCTTAATATAGTTTGCTATCTGTGTACTTTTTAAAAAAAAAAGGTTTTATATGTAATCATGCAAGTCAAATTCCTTGTACGTGTGAACCTACCTGGCAATAAACCCGCTTATGATTCTGGTGGTGATGGCAGTAGGCCCACCAGTTTGGCACAAACAAAGAATATGTGTTGAACTATAAAATATATATGCACAAACGTTTGTATGGCTATTGCTGTTCCCAGAGGATTTACATGATCCCTTGACTGTTCTACTAGTGCCATCTTTAAGTCAGATTTTACTTAACCAATACTCTACAAACTCCCATCTGTCTCATTTATTCCTTTGTATTTTGCACTAATATGCAAATGATAGCACGCTATCAAACTAAGCTAGCATTGCGAAAAAAAAGTAAACATGTATCTGCTGATCATGCACGTTAGCAGTCTTGTTTTACTGTACCTCTGAATAGTAATAAAACACACATTTCTCTACAGGGTTCTCTTTCAGTTGGCTTCATGTGTGACATTATTAATACCACGTAGTATTTGTGCAACTTAAACTTTTTTATGCAACACTTCTTAATCACTGAGCTATATTTGGTGTACTTAACAAATAACATAGGTTGTAACATTAGAGAGGAAATGAGGGCTTTAAAAAAGGCAAATGCTGCAATTTCATTACTGATGAAACTCCTGAGGGGATCTGTGAACTTGAAGCGTAATATGCTAACTTCTACCCCAAAAAGGTAGATGCATTTTTTTATTGAAAGTCAAACACAAGACATACCGAGTCCATGAGGAGGCACATGTTGCTGCTTCCTCCGAACACGACAACATCGCTGTCCCTCCCCAGGCACGCTGAGTGACACACTCTGGGGAACAGGAGGGTAAATACAGAAAAAAACACACCGTTTTTTGAAAACACTATGCTACACTTAAAGCTGACATGACAGAAGGAACTACCTGGGCTTGTCCTTGTGTTGGTGCGTCATTTTTTTCCACTCTTTCTTCTGTGTGTTTAACTGCCAGACATCATCTAGCAGAGAGAGGTTAGTGAAAATGCAGATTAAACCACAGGGAGCTTCACAAAATTAACCACTTGAGCAATGATGATGTCCTTTGTTTTTAAAGTCACATTATAATAAAAACAGTCCTGGCCAGAGACAGATGAGTCAAGACCATAATAAAAATGAAGAAACAATGTTTTCATAGTTTCAATGCCAGGACCTCTGAAGTAAATATTTCTTATTGGAAAGTCGTTCAAACAACCACAAAGGAACTACAACGACACACAAAATGACCAAAGAGCTGCAAAACAATGTTTCTGCTCTATTTTCTGTCCTTTGTAGTAATTTTGTATTTAGGTCATTTTAAAACTAGTTGTGGTTGTTTTGCATGTCTTAATGCTGACCCATCATCAGTCTATGAGGCAGAGAAGACTTGGAGCATACAGAGATTAATACAGAAGCCTTTTAAATCGATACTTATTCTGTGGACGACACTTACTAAGAGTGTTTCCGTCTATGCCGAGACCGCCGTAAATGAAGAGCGTGTGATCTGATGTTGGTGTCATGGTGAGCATGGAGCGGCCCAGAGGTGAGCAGGATGGGGAGAAGTCACTGGTGGGGGGGAGCAAAAGAGGTCAGTACATCAATTTAAAGTAGTGTTCGCTATAATAAAAGGTTATAACTACAGTATGTGTGAAAGATTGATGAAGTTTTACAATTGTGTCCAGGTCCAGGTGTCCAGGTCTAAGCAGAACATGTCCAACTCAAGCGTTTCCTGCAAACACAAACGTGTTCGCAATTTGACAGAGTTTAATCATCATAATATTAGTATGTACGGTCAAAAGGACACTTCCTATTTACATGGTCAGAAAGTGTGCAGACACCAGGACGAGGATGTCACTCCTCATAAACTACAGCTAACAACTGTATCACCGTGCAGAGGGAATAGTGCACTGTATTTGAAAAGAGGCGTGGGACAGCGCAAAACGTAAAACACTTCTTGCAAACTCCTAGGTTGAGCTGTAACGCTAGCTGGCCTAGTGCGTTGACAGCTCCCTCCTGCACAGGGATATGCTTGACAGGTATAGTGCGGTAGAAAGGAAATAGTTCCTGATTTCTGGGAAAGTAAAAATATATTTTCAAAATATTATTGCAGAATGCCATCAAGTTCCATTATCATGAAGAGAAGGCAGACATAACTACTGCTGATATTTCTATATAAAATCCTACCCTCTCTCACCCGCCCCGCAGCCGAACGACTAATCCATGCCTTCATTTCCTCCCGCCTTGACTACTGCAACTCACTTCTTTACGGCATCAGCACTACATCCCTCAACAGACTCCAACGGGTTCAAAATGCAGCAGCACGTCTCCTCACACATACCAAATCATGGCATCACATCACCCCAGTCCTCAAAGACCTCCACTGGCTTCCTGTCTCCCATCGCATCAACTACAAAATTCTGGTCCTCACCTACAAAGCACTCCACCATTTGGCTCCCCCTTATCTCACAAACCTTCTCACTCCTTATCAACCCCCACGGTCCCTCAGATCCACCGCAGCCGGACTCCTATCCATTCCCACATCCACAGTCTGCAGCTTTGGGGACAGAGCCTTCTCAGTGGAAGCTCCTAGGCTCTGGAATTCCCTCCCCCAAGATCTCCGTGACTCTGAGTCCCTCACAGTCTTTCAGTCCCGCCTCAAAACACATCTTTTCAACTCTGTCTACCCATAAGCCCACCATGCTTTTTAC